ACAATAGATACCCCCAAATTCTGAAGAATTTCCTTCTTGTTCCTCCTTTCCTAAACTTTGTGGGAGTGTCTATTTCCTGGTTTTGCAAAACTGTCCATCCATGAAAAAGCATCATCTTTTTTTTTAGTTTTGTCATCTCTTATTCATTACAGCATCCATTAATGTGTGCCTTTATTGGCTATTTTGTGCACTGGTTCTGTCAATTACACAGCCGTGACTTGGTTCCTCTTATTATTTTTGTCTCCTGTGTCTTCCATTTTATTCCATTTCTCTCTGATATTTGCTTTCCATGCTATGCTTAATTAAGTGCATGGTGTGTCTGTGTGTTTCTAATCTTTTAGTAAAGTTCATTCACAGAGTTGAATTGCTACATGGCAGCTGGTCCTGCTTCCAGATCCCCCCCTCCCTTTTATTGCTCACTGTCTTTCCATTATCCCACTGTTGCCACCACATTGACAAGATTCAGAAGATGGCCTTATAACTGTAGCAGAATGCTAGATGGTGGCAATCTAGCTTTAATGCCATACTTAACCTGTCAGATAGTGGTAAGCTGCATTGCACCAGACCCAAACACTTCAGCAGCTCAGAGAATTCACTAGGTGGTTGCTGGTTCATTGCAGAACTGCATTCCAAAACTATACATTTTTATACATGGAATCCATGGACAGAAGGAGTAGTTCTTCCTCTCCGAAACCTCCAACTCTTTAATCCTTCAACTCAGACTCATCTAGCGATGTTGAATAGAAGAAAGAAAGCCCTTTTTCCATCACTGGCTTGGTTTGGAAGCTCAAGATATCACAGAATTTGGCAACCAGGTTGCTTAATAAATCACCCAACTATATAGATGTATCTCCAGTGGTGAAAACACTGCATTGGCTACTGGTTTGCTGCAGCACAATGTTCGAAGTGTTGCCCATGTTTTTTAAGGCCAAAAATGAGAAGTGTGATTTGCAGCCATCCAGTTTTTCTTTGACTAAGAACCCCAATATGCTTCACCAATGGCTAAGGTGGCTAGACCTGTTGGGACTTGTAGTCCAACAACCTGAAGAACAGTCCATAATTTCCACCCTTTCTCTCAAGGGTTCCAGGGACAATTTATATGAGATGGCCAAGTCACTCTTTCTCAGCTTCAGAGGAAGACATTGACACCCCCCATTAATAAATCTGATAAGTTCACCTTAGGGTTGCCATAAGTCAGAAACAACTTGAAGGCACACAACAACAGCAACACCCTGGTCATCTTGAGGATTCCAATCACTTTCTTCAGGTTGCATTTAGTTAACATGTAAAATTTTGCCCCAGAGAGAGAGAGAGAGAGATTGATCAGCAAATTCTTGCCATTGGGGCATTTTTCTTTTTGTTCCAACCAATGTTAGATAAAATGAAACTAATGCGACAAGAACAACAATGGCAAAAATTCCATGCCAAGAAGCAAAAGAGATGTATTGTGCTTTTTAGTAGATTGCCTCTAGTCAGAAAGGTTATAGATGAGGGGGCACTGGAATTCACCAACTTTAACCACAGCGTAAACCCTATTGTCCTTTGGGATTCTTATTGGGCTTAGAAAATATCCCACAATTCAAGCAATGCAAGTGTTGATTTTAAAAAGAAAACCGTGAGGCATGAAGGATAAAATTGCAACTGAAGCAAATCTCTGTGAGTTTTGCCTCTCATCACTCAAATTAAAATCTAGCAATTGGGAGTCACATGTTCCAAATCTAGTAGCAGGCTTCGCAGATGATTATCACTGGTCTGTGAAAAGAAGATGACAACAAAAACACCAGCCTGTTGGACAAGGAGGTGGAACAGTGAAGTCAATTGTTCACAATGGGAATGATAAACCAGATGGACAAACAACTGTTAAGGTAGTTCTTCCTCCAAATCGGGAGGACAGTGAGCACAAGGGAATCATATGCAATTAGACCACATCTGTGTGTCTTTAACTGTGGAACAATACACACTCATCTTTAAATGTGAACCATTAGCGAAAAGAATAGGTGGAGGAGAGAAAGAACTAACTTGGTGAAAATTAAAAACTCAGTCTTACTGATCAGTGACCAAAGATAAATGAAAGTCGCTGCCAGCTCCAACCTACTTCCACTAGATCCTACTGTGTCCATCAGAATTGGTGGCTCCATCTAGAGATGTAAATATTTATACATTTCATTCTCACAGGCAAGAATGAATAATTTTATTTATTTATTTATTTAATTTACATGCCGCCTTTCTCCCAGAGTGGGACCCTCTGGGCAGCTTACAGAGGAACTCAGTTAAAACCTGACAGCATTAAAATTCTCAGATTTAAAATGGGATAAAATGAGATTAAAACAGTATAGGATTGGCGACCCTAAGATGAACCTATCACAGGGTCTCCTGGGGCTGAGAGGATGTGACCCACCTGAGTCACCCAGCTGATTTCCATGGCTGAAGGAAGAGTAGACCTTGATCTCTAGAGTCATAGTCCTACAATCAAATCACTACACCACACTGGCTCTAAAAATGTACAAAAACATATATAAGCTTTTTTAAAAATAAAAAAAGCACACAGTCCAATTAGAAACCTCCCCGAGAGCAATTGCATATTAAAACCTTGCTACAAAGAGGTATTTTCTTGGTGACAAAAGGAAAGGAGGAAGGAGGCCAGCCTAGTTTACTGTGGAAGGGAGTTCCAGAGGGTTGGGAGCAGCCATTGAGAACTTAACATCTCTTTTGTGTCTTCAGATAATAATAATAAATAATAATAACATTTATTTATATACCGCCCAATGGTTGCCCAATCCGGGCGGTTTACAACATAAATTCTAAGCTTATCACATGGCACTTACAAGAACAGAAAGGGAAGGGAAGGGAAGGAAATGGGGCAAAAATACATTTTACTGGATGGAAGAATGCCACTGATGCCACCGGGAGTCCCCAAGATGTTCCCCAGCCATTCCTGGTAGGTGATTTTGAAGAATGATTTTGAACCGTCTTCAAAAATTGGCTGCCAGGAATGGCTGGGGAATGCCTTAGGGACTACCAGCGGCATCAGTGGCATTCTCCCATCCAGTAAAATGCATTTTTGCCCCATTCCATTCCATTCTGTTCCCATTCCTTAACTGCCATGCAACAAGCTTAACAGCTGCTTGTGATGGTGGAGGGACTGAGAAAAAGCTTTCCCTGAATATATCAGTCTTCTGGCAAGTTCATATGGGGAGATATGGTTTTTCAGATAGTCTGGACTTAAGTCATATCAAGTTATATAGGTTATGACCAGCACTTTGAGTTCTGCCCAAAAATGAACCAGTAGCCAATGGAGCTGTTTTCACAAGGCAGGTATATGCTCCTTATAATTTGCCCATGTCAGCATTCTGCCTGCAGCTTTTTGGACCCACTGGTAATTTTTAAAATCATTTTTCTCCATGCTGTAAGCTGCAGGGTTTTTGAAGACTATTAGCAGTTAGGTGCTTTACTCAGTCCTAAAAAAACATACATGGGCTAGAATCCTCTTGGTTAGTTCCAGCCACAGTAGATCCATTCAATCAACTGTTGAATGGTAAGCAACTTTCAAGTAAATGCTACTGATTGAATGGGTCCTTTCATGTCAGCAGTAACAATAGAATTAAGACCATATATTTTTGAGTGTGTGCATATTTTGCATAGAAACACAGAACTGGTTGCACAGGGTTAGTATTTAGGAGAAAGGTGGTGTAGTACAAGCATCCTGATAGGAGCGTAGAGTCATTCTGTGAAAGGATGACATGGGAGCTCAGCTCCTGCCTTTAATTGAAAAACTTTTGAAAAGTATTTGCAGATCTACTGATAGGAAGCTCCTCAGTCTATTAGCAGGGAATCCATGGTGAACTAATCCCAGGAACAACTGATTGAAATGACCAGATGATCACAACTGTGATTCAGTTTGTCCTTTTATGTTCTAAATTTTTCCACATCCATCTAAGACCAAACAACATCCTGGTCCCTGACCTGACTTGATGTGTTTGCTTTCTGTATCCTGGGACTAATTTCTAGTTGTGTTTGGTTCTCGTTGTGTCAGAAGATGTAAACCTTCATCATCTCTCTAAACACATTTATTGAGAAATATTCTTGGCCTAAGAGCAATGGAGGCGTTGCTTGGTCAGTCACTATGGTGAGGAAATGGGTCACCTTCCCCACCCTTCCCTGAACTCTGCTAGCCTCCAGAAAGAAAGGAATTTAAATATTTATAGAGGATGAAAAATAAATATTAAAACAACATCATACACATTGCCTCCCTGGAAAGTGGAGAGAGCCATAGTTCAGCAAGCAAGTGAGACAATGTAGAGATCATGCATTATTCACAGTGGGTCAGGGCCAGAGAAAGGCTTGCAAGTCTGCCTCCCTCTAAATGACAGCAAAGAAGAGTATGATTTAGTAAATAATATGTGCAGATGAGGGTTATTTGCCTCTGTTCAATTGGCCGTGGCCTCCAGGTGGTGGAAAGTCAATGAATCTGATCAGAAAATGTGGGAAATAAAACCTACTCAGCCCCCTCCAGTGAAGGCAATTTACATAAAGTATGATGGACCACTGGGTTGTTCCACAAGCCAGCTGCTATGGCCAACATATCTCTGTATGCAAGAAATTGTCCCTGGTGTAGCCGAGAGTATCCATTGCACAGCTGGAAATCTCACATGTATTCTCTAGGTATAATAGGACAACAAGGCTCCCACTATTTTGCAGAAGAAAATGGGACATTTTCATACTTTCCTAGCCTATGTCATCAACTATTGCACATTGTTACAGGGGATATAGAAACCCCTTGTTGCATCATTGTTATGTTTTAAAATATTTTAAACTGTTTTAAAGTAGTGCTATCTTAAACACTGTTGTTGTTGCTGTTGTTGTATGCCTTCAAGTTGTTTCCAAAGACGAATCAATCATGGGGAATATTTTGGAAAAAATTGTTCATGAGGGATTTGCCTTTGCCCTCCTCTGAGGCTGAGAGAATATGACTTGCCCAAGATCACCCAGAGGGTTTCCAAGGCCAAGCAAGGATTTGAACCTTGGCCTCCAGAGCTATAGTCTGATGTTCAAACCATCAGTCCACACTAGTTCTCTTTTTAACAGCATAGTTTGTTTAATTGTTTAGAAAAATTTATTATTATAATTTTTAAGCTGCATTTTAATTTATATTGTGAGCTGCCTTGGGTCCCATGTTGAGAGAAAGATGGGATGTTAAACAAATAAATAATTATTGTTATGCTCTGGATGTACACATTATCCCTTTCTTTTATAATAGCCATGTCACTAGGGCTGAAGTTCTACTGTTAAACCCAATTAGAACTGATACATTTAATCAGTTTGACTTACTCATGTTTTAACTCACTATTCAACAATTGGAGTAGAATTCATGATCAAAGTTACAAATGTGTAACCTGGAATTGTACATCTGTAACTGATTTGCATTCATGAACAGAGTCTGAATGGCCATCTGTCAGGAGTGCTCTGATAGTGTGTTCCTGCATGGCAGGTGGTTGGATTGGAAGGCCCTTGGGGCCTCTTCCAACTCAATGATTCTATGATCCCTATGTATTCATGATCAATAGTGTAGGGAATGTATTTATTGTTGTGTGCCTTCTATTAATTTCTGACTTATAGCAACCCTAGGGCAAACCTGTCAAACGGTTTTATAAAAGAAATGGACAGTACAAATATCCAGCGAGTGAAAAGAATTATATATTTGTTAAATATCACACCTTTCTCCCAGCATGGGACCAAGGCAGCTCACAATATAAATCACAATGCAGCTTTAAAAATGACTATAATAAAAAGTTATAAACAATTTAACAAACTTTGTTGTTTAAAAGAGAATGTGGCTTGCCCAAAGTGATCCAATGAATTTTCATGGCTGAGCAGGGATTTAAACCCTGGTCTCCAGAGTTGCAGTCAACCTACTGCTGGCTCACCTCAGGGAATATATAGGGATTGCATTTTCCCTGCCTAGTACTTTCTTCTGTCTTGTCTTTACAATGAATGGCTGGGATCCTATATCAAGGAGATTATCATAATTCACCTTCTAGGTTCTGAATAAGTCGACACAGGGGATTGAGTTTATGACTTAGCTAATGGTGGTCTCTCTGAATCCAAGGATCTGCTGGCTGGAACAGTTGAGAGGTCCTCTCCTTAGTAGGACTTAGAAGATGCCAAGGATGTACTCTCATGCTTTGAATATTGTCAAAGAAATGAGGAGAGGCTTCATTGGTCCCAGCATCTGGACTCATCAATTACCTGGCATCCAAAGGCATCTACCTATAAATGTCCCAGCAGCTCCCTGGAGTCTTTGTTGCTATCACTACAAATGTCAGAGCAATTGGCATTTTTGTGGTCTTGACATTTGAACTGGGTACGATTAATTACTCCTGTATCTTATCCCTCTTTAGCTTTGTTTTTCTGGACTACTGCTTTTGGGGACTATGTTATAAAAACTCTTGGACCAGCTCCTATTCCTCCCTTCATCTTATGGGATTACATCTGAATTCCTTGGACTGGATTGACTACACTACAGCTCTTTGTCTTAGAACCACTTTTTCTCAGGCTACTTGCTAACTGTAGCATATGGCAGGGAGGCAATGTAGGTTTACACACACACACAGTTATGTGACAATCATCTGTTGGTGAATTTCAGCAATGCCTGAGCAACTACAAAATACATGACTACAAAGTACAGTGGGTATCCGCATGTGCAATGTACAATTCACAATGCTCAAATACAATGCAATGACATGGCATGCACAGGTTTTTGGTTGTGCAAAGTTCAATATGGACTTCTGCACTGGATGAAAATGTGCATTGCTTCTGTAGAGGAACTTAGGCATGAGTAAGGATGTCCTGCTTTAAGGAAATTCATGTATCCAGAGTCCTATGAGCTGAGGTCAGAAGGAAGCCAAGTCATCTTGTCAATAGTAAGAGGAAAAGCATGTCTCTTCCAGTCCAAGGTCAAGAATGTGGTTAAACAGAGCCAGAAGCTCAGGATTCATCCTTAGTTGAGTTGGACAGTAATCCAGGAGTCAATGATTTATCAGGAACTACAGAACCACTCCTAGAGCTGAGATCTTGGAATGGTGTTGCTCTCAACAATGAGCTGGTGTTCTTATCTGCCTCCTATAGGGAGAAATGTGTGGCCAGTGCCCAGATACCAGCAGGATGACTGCATTCTTCAGTTGTGATCTTGTCCAGATCTTAACTTCAGCTTTATACTGTCTCCCAAGGAAAGAGTATGGGACTGGAGAGGACTCCTCCTCCTCCTACTCCTCCAGTTCTGGTTTTGAATTGAACTGTTGAACAGAAGGAGACCTTGGCTGAACATCAGGCATCTACTGAATTTCTTCAAATGGTTTCTTCATAGTCTTCAGAAGAAGAACTCTCAAGGGGAGGCATGACAGAAGATGCCAGGCAAATATCAGCTCGAGAAAACAAATAATTTCTCAATCACTTGTTAAGGGAGTTATTATTTTCAGTGCCAGTTAAATAACAAGTATTGTTTTTGTTGAACAATAATGCTACAAAGATAACTTGTAGGAAAAGAATGAAAAGGTATCTCATAGCACCTTCTGCTTTTTCAGATACATGAGGTGGAGTGGACTTTCCATTTCTCTCTTTCAGTTAGTCTCAAAAGTGCTATGAGATCCTTCAAACGATTGAATTTTCAGAGTAACAAAGCAATGTCTTTGAATAATACTACAGGAGAACCATCTGTTAACTGTAATTGTGTAAGGATGATGCATTAGCTTGGCTCCTCCTGCCACAAAGTGCTTGTGAAAAAGGGGCACCAGGAGCCTCTGGTGCAAAAATCCTGCAGAGTCATGTCTCTGGACTTAACTCTGACTCACTCTCTTTCCATCTCTCCCCCTCCCTTCACTTTCATTAAAACAAGGGCATTGGGGTGAGTCCCCACAAACGCTGTTGTCTTTTGCTGATAATTTGTTCAACTAATAGCCCAAACATTCTGAATGCCTCTTCAGTGTTCAGTGCTGTAATTGAATTTCTAATTTATTCCACCCAGATATAATTAAAATAAGTATTATCTCAATTATTTATGACTGGCAAAGTGGCCGTACGTTTGCAGAAAGGAAGATGAAGATATAGATTCACAGAGAGAGAAAGACAGAGAGAATGCTGCCTAAGGATTCACTCAGATACACTCTGACAGGCTTTGCAAGATCTCATTGGACTGAGAGATAGAAGGAGAGAGAAGGGAATATAAGACAGAGAGAGAGAGAGAAACAGGGAGACACAAGGGGGAGGAGAAAGGGATGGATGCACCCTATTGAATCTCTTTTGGCAACAGTGCTTTAAAAACTGGACCAAGGACTTTATCACACATAGCTTTTAAATGGCCATTGAAGTTGAAAAATAGCATCTTCAGTGATACTTATCGCACAATACCATCTCTGTCTTGTCGCTGCTTTGCCCTCCAATGTCTAACAATGTTCTAACAATTGTTAGAGCACACCTTGTCATTGACAGAGAAAACCTATCTATAAGTTCACAAATGTGCTGCTGTGGCATTACTCCTCTGGTGCGATAAAGTCCTCGTGCAGCAGTTCCAGTATTGGACAGTCATGTAGTGTCAATGTCTCCTCTTCTACCTCTCTCCCTTGCTATTCCAGGACAGGCTGTTTGTTTGTTATTTGTTTGTTTGTTTTTTGGTCCTAAAATTTACAAAACAGTTCATAGTCTGTGTCTAAACATAAAGTATAAGTGGATTATTATTATTATTATTAAAAGAAAAGCCAAAAAAAAAAAAAAAAGGCTGAATCTGAACTACAATGACAACAGTAACAGAATAAGAACAACTGAATCATCATTTGGAAGTGAGTTCAGACTGGTGTAAAGGAAATCTATACATCTCAACAGAGGGTTAAATTGATCCAAAAGCTCTCTGAATATGAACTACTTTGTCTTACATTGAATCTGCAGGTAGTGGTATATAAATATGCAGGTCAGGTCTAAAGACCATTGAAGAAGGAAATGAGTGACCACTTTACTAATACACCGAATATTAAGATCAGGAGCAACTGCAGTAAATCACACTTCTCAGCAAAGAGCAGTCTGCCAAGGAACTGTCAATCTGAGTAATAGAAAAATTGTGAACATTAGATGCAAGACTTGTCCTCACATCCTGTCCTGGGTATTGAAACTTGAAAGCCTAGCCCCAAGCAAGTTAAATGAGGATATTGAATATGTGCCAATATTTTTGGTAAATTTTATTGAGGATTTCGGGCAGGGGCAAGGAACAGTAGCGAGTCACAAGCAAGGCTGGTAGGTGGCTGGCATCTATGGTGCATCCACACTGCAGAAATAATCAAGCTTGACACCACTTTAAGTGCCATGACTCAATGCTATGGAATTCTGGGATTTGTAGCTTGTTGTGGCACTAGAGCTCTCTGACAAGATTAAATATCTCACAAACCTGCAAATCACAGAATTCTGTGCATTGAGCCATGGCAATTAATGGTGTCAAACTGGATCATTTTTGTAGTGTAGATGCAGCCCCAGTGAAGTGGAAAATCTGTTCTGGATTTCAAAACCGGCTTTAAAGGAACTATCCAAGGTGCTGATCTTTAGTCCCAAAATACATCCAGCATTCTGGATAGCTCCTTTTCCCAATTTCCAATTCCATAGGCCTCACTATGCATCCTTCTTATAAGAGCTCACTGTGGGCTTCTACTGATGTGTAGAAACTTGTAGAAGCTACCAGTTGCTATAGAGAAAAGTAGCCCAATAACAGCAAATACACTCTTAAGCTAGCCAATAAGTAAATTAAGGTCCAAAACACAGCACAGAAATAATCCAGTTTGAGACCACTTTAACTGCCCTGGCTCAATGCTAGGGAATTTTGGAAACTGTAGTTTTGTGAAACATTTAGTCTTTTCTGTCAGAGAGCTCTGGGGCCACAATAAACTACAATTCCCAGGATTCTCTAGCACTGAGCCACGGCAGTTAAAGTAGTCTTGAACTGGATTATTTTTGGAGTGTATTTTGGACCTAAGATTCTGTGCGTCATCACTTCTCTGAAATATTTTCCTCCTTGAAATTTTGTCTGAAAGGTAT